TTTTAGTTTCACATGCAGGCTAAACATGTAAAAAATCTTCCATCCCTACTTCCTCTATTAGCAGCAGAAAGATAAACGAGGAAAGGCTCGGGTCAAAAAAGCCAGACGGATCTATGTCACACTGAAAGGAGCATTCATAGACTCACTCATGAAGAAGAAGCTCACTATCTCACCTCTACTAAATATCCCAGCGAGCCACGACAGTTATGACAGTGAACCTGCATATTTAGCAGGATGTCCTCTAAATGCAGCCACCTTCATTTGTCCCCTTATGACTCGTCTGTCCCGTGGGATGTTTGTCTCTAAACCACAAAAACAATCATGATAATTTGTAAATTCCTCAGAACCATGAACTAATCCAACTAGATTATGAGTGACTAATGTTTGACTCCATAGCCGGTTGTATTAATTAAGACATCACAAATAAGGCCAATATCGATGAATACCTGACTAGGGTGTCGTTTTCATCAGAAAGCCCACGTACAGCTCTTAGCAGAAGTGTCTCTCCATCCAGTCAACTGTTCAAAACTGTAAATGAAGGCCACCTCAGATAAACAGCTGCTACTCTTTTCAAGAGGAAATGAAAATTGAAAAGAAAAAAAAACAGTCATGTTACAGCCTATATCCTTCCCTGAATGAAAAAAATAAGGTCGGCGGAGTTTACTTTCTAGTGTGACGCTAAAACTAAAGCAAAAACATTTTAAAGAGTGAGATGTCAGAATGGAAAAGAACTAAATGTATTGATTTACTGCATCCTTGAAGGTCAGACCCTGAAAGAGCTTGAGTAGGACATTACACACGATTAATGTCAGCTGTGCACATGCCTAGTAACCAGCCTTTGTCCTAATATTCATCTTCATGTACAATTTTACATTGAACATGTTTTTGTCAGAAATGGTCTTTCATCTGACGTGATTTCTTCATGCTCTTTAAAAACGTCTGACTGCTTTTCTCATGCCTTCAGTTTGGATTTGCAGCTGTTTCGGCTTTTTTTTGTCTTTCTTTGGGAACATTTAGTCAAGTATCAATATAGCATACAGAAATGTTAGAGAGGACAAACCTCACGCAGACTTAGAAAACGTGATAAACTCTACAGTTGTGCATCATTTTCCTTCTGCAAAGTTTAGATTTCAAAACTGAGTGGTCCCAACATGGTCGGTTTATGACTGCATTTAGATTTAGCCTGTTGGAGGAGCCAGGATGAATACGGCTCCACGAAAAAACACAAACAGGTTATTAAAACTATAAACCATGCTTTCAGTGTCTTCTTAAGAGTAAATGAGTTTTCATTTGGGATTCATGGATAATTTTTGGCAGATTTTTTTCAATTTAATTCTATTTTCCCAGTATCTCAAAGAAAGGAAATGTGCTTATTTTCTCACTTTTCTGTTTCTCCTTACCTGCACTAGACTGCAGCCAGAACGATTTTAGCTTAGAGAATCAGGGAGGTTGTTTCACTAAGTAGTCAGAGCAAACTTTGGAAGTTAATTTCCCTAATTAGCAGCAGGATGAACACAGAATCGGATGCTGTATCCTGCTGCTGACTCACAGATCTGCAGGTTTCATATCAAAGCAAACACCAGCAATAGCAAGATGAGTGAGCACAAAGTAATTGACCTGCATTTTACAGGATGTTACCGAGTCACATAATGCAGAGCTGGTGGGTAAAATTATGAGATGGAAGCAGACTTATCAAATTCAGAGGTGGGGTTTTATGAAACATGGTGCGCTCAGCATAATATAAAAGTTACTCAGGTTGATAAAAGTCAGCTAATAGCAGCCTGAGCAGGGGTGGGCGTGGCCAATTCCAGCTAATTTTCTTACTCTTACTCTTACTTAGTCAGACTCTCAAACCTGCTGGTTATTAGTGGTGACTTTCTCCGATCGAGTTCACCTCCTCTAGACTTCCTCGCTGCATGTGGCGTGGGCTCCCATGCTAGAACAGCATCTCAACACTGATCCTGTTTCATATTTGAGCTTTCAGGTGTAAAGAATGGGTCGTTTACATCTTACTTATGAACCATAAAACGTGAGATTCCATAGAAATATGAAATATCAATCTGATGGATCTTTGACTATTTTAACCAGAAGATCAGAACTTTTTATTGCAGGGATTAAGCGACACTTCGTATTAACTCCAAGGAAAGAGAGAGAGTCAGGTTTAAAATAGTTAAGAAATTTATTTCTACACAGTTTAAACAAGACTAACTTTAACACTCTGTGTGCTGATGGAACCAAGGTGGAGTGAGGCGTGAAATGAACGATGGTGTGTGTGTGTGGAATGTTATTCAGAACCAGCAGATCCGGAGAAGCAGTTAGTTCTGAGTGGGAGTGAATGTTTCACTCTAAACTTTAGTAGGAGATTTATAACACACATGAAACGCTATCTGTCGCTCTACATACCCCAGGGGAAGCCTCCGTTAGATCCAGACTGTCGAGGTCCTTAGGACCCTCCTTGGTACCGAAGCCGATAGAAAAGCAGCGGTGCCGACCAAACTAGTCTTGGAATGCTTCCAGGTCACGACAGGTTATCATTGGCGTCTCCGAGACCCTGAAGGGGTCGTGAGGTTCAGCTTTTATTCTGAAGGAACCATTGCAGTCAGTTGTAACTTGTAGCAGATTTTATCCAGCTTGTCTGTGGTTCTTTCTGGCTGAAGAGGAAGTCCGGATGGCCTGTCCGAGACTTCTCTAGAACGCTTTGAACTAAAGAAAAGGTGGCGTGGAATAGTTTTTATAATTGTCATATTCTGGTTTACTGATGAATCAGAATTTGACATGCAAAAGAGGGTTTATACAAACACCACAGAAAACCACACCTTGCGTTAGAAACGAAGGTTCTGATTGGATCAGTGCAAATGTCCAAGATTATAATTACTTGTAAATTACTACTGATCACAGGATTATAATATCAAGTAATAACATTGTCATTTCACAGATTGATGAACATTGGGCTCACATTATTATTGGTAATAACAAAGTTGTTGATTATTTGTTTATCACAAGAGTTCTTTGTCTTCGCTGTAACAGAGGTGAAGCAGTTCAGATGAGCAGAGTGCATGAAAGACCTTGGCCACTTTCTCAGGTAGATTAGCCTGTCAGAGAGTTTATGTCTCTGCTCGAGCAGACACAGCAGATCATGACCTTTAGGTCAAAAACAGGACATTCATGACGCTATACAGGGTTCAGTTTATGTTTGTGTTCAGCTTCTCTACGCACTATCTGCATCCTTCCATTAGCAGGTTTCATAAAAAGACTCGGGATTTCCAAGCTGTTTGCAGCAGAGTTGAAAGCCGTGTTTTGACCAGCAGTGGCGTCTCTACCTGTTAAATCTAACAAGGTGGTGGGAGCTGAAGCCAAGCAGAAGGTAGGGGAGAGAAGAGAAGAGAGAAACAACAATGACAGGCAGATGTGGGTGTTTTGCACAGTGACGAATAAGGTGGGAGTTAGAAGAAGAAGAAAAAAAGAGTGAGAAGAGGAAAATTTTCCCAGCTGGTCTTTAATCATGCAGAGAAAAAGCCTGAGTTGGTTTACTGAACAGAAGCACACAGGGCAGAAAAATACCAGCACGTCCCTGTGTTATAAAGCAAATGATGTGTATCTTCATTTAAGACCCTGATCAGGGGGATTTACTCCAGCTGGCTGGGTTTTACTGCTTCATGAGCTCAAATGTATCATTTTGTTGGTCCTTTAGGACACACGGCTGTCTGTTGAAACTGGACAAAGTAAACCCGTGGTTAGGTGGCATTTAATGAGCCGAGAAGTATTCATCCATTTCCCTCCTTTTTAAATAAGCTGAAGAAATGCTGGAATCTGCAACTTTTGCTGGATTTCATTTAAAAACTGTTCATGAGAGAAAGATGGAAGCATGCCGAACCCTAAGATAAATGAATCACTCAGACATTTTCCAGATCATGAAAGTGAAGTCCTCTTGAACGGTTTACAATCCTCGAAACAAAAACTGTCCTTAAAGAAAAAGAAAATCTGCCATCCAGCAACATCTGGTAGATTTTCACCTTGATCTCAAACAGATGCAGCGGTCTCATTTCTGTCAACGCTCATGTTTGTTCTGTGATTAAATGCATGTGCTCATGGCCTTTCTGTGACAGACATCTGCAAACCCGATGTTTGTACCGACACCGAAGGCTGTGCGGATGAAGGGAAAACAGCATTTTGAGATTAAATAACTGAAATGCAGGAAATGAGGATGTAACAGCACAGGCAAAGCGTAAGCAACAAGTAGGCAGCATGAAATATTGAAGAATGAGCTCAAACCTGTCAACAAATATTAGAGTTAGGACTTGTGGGACAATGACAACAGAAAAAAAACCTCCCTAAAGGATCAGTCTTTTGCAAATAACCTCATTTTGTGTTTATTAGTGTAATAATAGGATTTATAAGTTATACAGGGTCAGAAATATCAGAGCATTTACTTCAGTTGTTACTAACTCCCGGACAAAGGTCACACCCTGGGTTCTGCTGTTTTTTTAGTTCCATTAATCTTTTTTATTATGTACAAATAAAATAAAACGCCTGGTAAGACCAAGTGTCTGCTGTGCTTTTATGGTCCGAACTAATTTCCACGAATGGCCACAGATAAGGTTTGTTATAAATCTTTTACGGAGCAACAGAGTCCAGGTCTGGAACATTAGCATGCTCGTGTTTCGGCGTAGCTGTCCATTAAAAGATGCGGCCAGTGCACTCACTTCCACATTATTTCAAGTTGATTAACCGAGCAGTTGTGTTTCCAGGAAGGAGAAGTGAAGGGCAGCCGAGCACGGCCATGGGTCGCACACATCCTGCATGTCATACATTTACTTTGAAAGCTGCTTCTTCATGATTAACGCCAGCATAAATATTAAACTCTTCCATAAAAGATTACTTTTAATTAGCAGAATAAGCAACTTTAAGTACTAAATGGCCTCAGAGCGTGCGCCTGAACCAGGCTGCAGGCCCATTAGTTCTGTCTGTGACCTGAATGTTCTCCTTTTTTGTGTCGCCAGTCTGCTCCCAGTTCTCCAGAGGAGTTTACGCCATCTTTGGGTTCTACGACCGGAAGTCCATGAACACGCTGACCTCCTTCTGCGGGGCTCTGCACACATCCTTCATCACGCCCAGCTTCCCCATCGACGTTGACGTGCAGTTCGTCATCCAGATGAGACCGAGTTTGAAAGGAGTTGTTCTCAGCCTCCTGGATCATTATAAGTGGGAGAGGTTCGTCTATCTATACGACACTGACAGAGGTGAGAGAGCCATACTGGAAACACACACATACACACCTTCTGGAAACATCATCACCTAAAGCCTGTGTCTCTTTGGGCCGTTTAAAACAGAAAAGTAATAGAATATCTGCAGTGGTCTGTGTTTTTTATGGATTAGATGGAGAATAAAGGTGTGTGGCAGGGATGCAAATGTTGTTGTTGTTTTGTCTTTTAACCATCAGTTTGTCACCAATTTACCCAAACGTCTTTTCCTCATTTGGTCACAAAGATGTGCTTTACTTTTCACTCTCTGTGATTGAGGACAGGTTGAGTTGGATTCCCAATATCCACAATGACTCTGGGATTTGTTTGAGGGAACATTTATACTGCAAAGTGTACAAAACTCCAGCAATGTGATATAGCAAAGCTCTGCCTCATGCGAGACGTTTTGGTGAGTCCCTCTCAAGTGCTATGGGTAATTTGTCTCCAGCAGCTGCCGCCCAGTAAAGCACCGAATCATCTCTCTGCAGGAATGTCTCTCCTGCAGGAGAATACAGAGACATAAGCAGCTCACAGATGAGTTTTACTTACTGCATGTGATCAATTTTTAATATGCAAATACCTTATTTCAGGTTTTCAGATGCATTTAAATTCCTGTTGATAATGATCCCAAATTGCTTCTCTGTGTGGGTGAGTCAATCGTTCCTTCCTTCTGGTATATGAGTCATTCACAGGTGCTGCTGATGTGCTGCAGCAATCTGTTTGTAATCTCATGCACTGTTTGATAATGATTTAACTCAAATCGGATTCTGTAAAATAACTTTTCTTTGTGATTTCTAGCCTCTGGCTTCCCACATGTGGGCCAGTTCTGCATGGAGATGGGGGTTCTGAGGGTCATCATCTGTAGGTGTTGAGAAGCAGCACAGTTTGTTACAAAACCGACATCCACCAGCTGTAGCGGAAAAACATGCAGCTCTAATCTGGAGTTAAAAAGCTCCTCGAGGATGAGGATGTAACTGCAGAATTTGGATTTAAATCTAATTTTCTATTGAAAACGATAGAAAGTTGTCAAAAATATCTTTCATTTTGGGATTTCTGATGTCAAACAGGGTCAAAATTACTTATTTAATATTCGTACTGATGGTTATGAGCACACGCCTGAGTCCGGTTGGCCACCCTAAACTCTAGATTTATACATGAAATCATATTGTAATAAATACAATGAAAAATGTTCTTCAGGCTTATTGTCCAGGCTTGGAGCTGCTCAATCTTCTGCCTGAATGAAAGAGGGGGAATATTGTATGCATCGTTTGATTTCCTTGCACTGATACACACCGTTTTTATGTGCTGAGGCCATATTTCATGTTGAAGCACAAAACTCGCAGCCAGTTATTGAAAAGAAAACAACTTCCACCCACATGTCTTCCACATCTCCATTACAGTTCTCTCTCTTGTCACTGGTGCCGTTTTTTAGGTTAATTTATTCATCCAGACTGTTTTGTCTCATGCAGCCATGAAACCTTTATGGAGTTCTATTGTGCCTTCATCTGAGTGCTGAGCTGTAAACTTGAAGGTGCTGATGAAAGAGCAGGAGCTTTTTTCTTTCTTGGTCATTTAAAACCCACCTGACTGCAGCCGCTAACTTTGCTGTTTGTGCATTTTTCAGTCAATGACAAATTTGTAACTGATCCAGCAGCAGATATGCCCTGAGCTCTTTGCTCATTTCCATAGTAACGTGTGTCGATTGGTCCAATGAGGACAGTCAGTCGGGAATACCAAAACAAAAAGGGAAATTAGAAAATTTGTTAAGTGTATTTGTCTAAAACGACAGAAATCTGATGTCTGAAGTAATTTTCAGATGTGCTGAACTGTTCAGAGCTGCACATTACTATCGACAAAAGTGGTCCTTCTTCACTTCCTCTGCCTTCCACTGCAGATCTTTGGATCAAACTCCTTTTTTTGCATTCCTAAAATCTGCAATAACATTTTCAGGGCATTTCAGAAGAGACAACACCTCCACTCATGTTCAGAGTTGTGTTTGACCTCATTAAGGTGGTTGTGGCAGATCGTGGAGGCCGATAACTGGTTCTGTGGTGTGATTGAAACATAACATTTAACAAGTTTATACCCTCTCTTTGGCAAGCCGTGGCCCTCTGAGCCCTTCATTTTTTTGTTGGTCTCTATCACCTGCTGTGTGGAGGTTGTCATCCTTTCTCTGTTTCCTCAGAATCAGATGGTGTAAATCTGTAGTTTAGGATGTTCTCCTTCATGCAGCACAGCTTGTGTTTGCAGAGCGGCATGGTTGGCACTTCCTTTTTTGGCTCGTCTCGCTCCGTCCCATCAATGCTCTGGAGCGATGCAGCCATCACTCATCCAAACGTCACTTTAATCTTCATTATAGGGAGAGGACTGCATTTAGGGGCCTGAGAGGGACAAGCAGCAAGTCTTTGAGAAATGCTTTTGTGACTGTTAATAGCTGGCTGAGCACATTGACAGTAATAGGCTGCAGAGGCATTTAACAGTGATGCGTGTAAAGTTTGTTGCTTTTTTATGAGACACGGAGTCTTTTGTCTGAACAGAAGCAGAACGGATCTAAAAGTCAAACTGGAATGGGAGAATTCATTAACGTGCAGCTGTCTAACCCCTACAGATTGTGAGAAAGTGGACTATGGCCACTCTTTCATCACACAGCATAAAAGAGATTTTTATAATTCAAGCCCAAAGGCAGAACTACTCATCCCATAAGCATCAGTACGATGGGATTTGGAATATAATGGATAATAAAAGCCCAGAGATACTTCTTAATGTGGCCAAGCATGAAGTTCCCATTAGATTTTTGCATTTGAAACGGTGTCAACATCAAATGGGTCCAGCTCCTCTTTGATGTTGGAGATGGCCTCTTCTGACAGCAGCACTCTAACGATTGAAACGACTTCAGCCGACATTTAAATTAATTATCAGAATGTGAGTCGGGCCTCTCTGCCAGCTGCTTATGTTAGTTCTTTTTTGCAGGATTCTCTAGCTGTTTCATACGCCAGGAGCTACAGATGAATATTATAGATAAACTGAAAAAGCTAAAACTTCCATTTTAAACATCCCAATGTTTTAATTATGTTTCCTTCTGCCGTAGAATATCACTTAATTAACCTAAATGTACTCATTCAATCAGAAAATGGCTGCAGGCAGAAAAACATCTCTAACAAAGCCAAGCTAATGGAAGGAGACCCTCACCTCAACTTTACTGCAGTTTTGCACAAATTGCACACACTGCTTCCGCAATTTTACAGGAGAATGTCTCACACGTCCGCCCTTTCAAAAGTCCTTGTAATGACATAAAGATGGTGATAAATAATCATTTAGATGTTCTGTAACTGAGCTCTCCCACTCTGGCTCCAATTAGAAGTCCAATTAACCTGTGGCTTTAATAGCCTTCTGTTCAAAAAGCAACAAATCGGGTCTGAAAACGCTAAATCATACAACGTTTGCCAGAGAACTCTGCTGTAGTGTCCTTGGGCAAGATACTTAACCCCCCACCTGCTGGTGGTGGTCGGAGGGACTGATGGTGCCTGTGCTTGGCAGTGAGCCCAGGGCAGCTGTGGCTACATTGTAGCTCATTCCCATCAGTGTGTGAATGTGTGTGTGAATGGATGAATGATACACTGTATAGTGTAAAGCGCAGGTCATTTATCATTACCATTTATCACATAGTATGTTTGCTGGTAATCCTTAAGAAAATACTATTATTAGGTAACCCTCAGGATTTAAGACCAAATATAGTCACTTCCTCCTCTGCAAAAAGATGAAAGGTGATTCAAAGCAGCTGGTTCTAAAGCCTTATCACTGGTTTTTATTAACTTTTTTTTCATTAATCATTTTTCTCATTTAAAAAAGCCTCAAGAAACACGATATTGTTCTTTATTGACAAATGAAAAGAAAAAAATGTTTAAAAATGACCAAATTCAGTTTCTGGCTCTACAACACGCCACAAAAATCCGCTAAAAACAGGAAATAAGGTGTGAAACATGCACATCACAGGATGCTGCTCACCAGTTCTATAATTGTCATCATTACACTTTACAGGCAGTCCCATCAAGATTTTACTTTAAGTCCCCATGAGATGAAATTGTTTGATTAAGCACAGGATACATCAGGTGTCCTTGGGCAAGACACAGACCCCCCCCCCCCCCCCCCCCCCAAGTGTGTCACTGAGGAGACAAAACATTAAGCTGTGTTTGGGGAATGGTTGTTAGATGCTTAATGGAAAGTAGATGAGGCTAAAAAGGTGCATTAAGTCTGAGCTATGTCAAAAGTCATTTAGCTCATACATTGATGTAATTAATTAAAATTAGAGAGGAATACACCAGATTTACACCCAATTAAATACGTTTTTGAACTGAAGCGTGGCTGACCTTAGGAGACTTTTTGTTTTGTTGCAGTTTTACAGAACTAAATAGACCTTCCGAATTAGAAACAGTTTTTTTCTTTATCACTAAATATTTTGAAGGAAATTTATCATAAGTACAAAATAACCATTAAACAGTATTAGTAAATAAAATATGTCCATGTGAAATGTAGTATTACAGAAGAAGCTTCACCTGAACTAAGTGCTCTTTAAAGCTCTTATTGTGAAATCTAAGACTCTCTGCCGACTCTGCCGTTCCTCCTGGTAAATGAACTCTGCTTAATGACTAGATCTTTAGCTGCCGTCAACTTGAAGGAGCACCTTTTAACAGCATCAGTGGCAGCTTTTCCTGTTATCTACTGCAGAGGAAAAAGGAGGGGACCGTGGGATTGGTGGAGAATTTGCATTTGATGTGTAATCACACTGCCCCACTGCTGAATGTCTCTTTGGTTTTGCCTCCACAATGAAGCATCTGATTAATTGTGCACCGCTAAAGCGCCACACTCAGCAGTCAGGCACACGGACTGATTAACAAAGAGAGAGGGAGAGAGCAGCTGTGAACATTTTACTGCAGGATCATCGGGACGCTGATACGTATCGGTAGGCTCAGACCCAACCCCCATCATCCACGTGGGGTGAACTGATTCATCAGTCAAGCTCTTTTGCCTCAGCAGGGCGGTTGTCTAGATCTGCTGAAGGACTACTTGGCCCCTTGTGAACAGACGAAGAGCTAAAGACACAGAAAGTGGGGAAAACATGAAACAAATTAGTGAATGAGACATGTTTCTATCAGGATGATTTTAAAAGATAAAATTGCTGCACTGAAATGACCCAAAAGTCTTAAATGTTAGTTAAAACTGCCAGATTTAATTAACTTCAATAGCTGGACAGTGTCTTTAAATTTCAGAGCACATATTTTCTCAACTGCATAGACACGGGAACCATATTACTTCAGCTTCATAAAAAAAGACAGTTTTTGTAGGAGATTGTAAGCTGTGTGTGTGTGTGTGTGTGTGTGTGTGTGTGTGTGTGTGTGTGTGTGTGTGTGTGTGTGTGTGTGTGTGTGTGTGTGTGTGTGTGTGTGTGTGTGTGTGTGTGTGTGTGTGTGTGTTGACTTCATTGGTGAAAACCTCAAAGAGCTGTGTGCACTAGCTGAGAAGATACAGATGAGGCGTTGGCTGTCTCCGAGTGTTTTTGCACGAACGAAAACCCTCCTCTCGTATAACGCTCTTCATCCACTCTGCCAAACACCCAAAATGGCACCAATTGATCCATGAACATCCGTGCAGGCAGAAGCAGAGAAGCCTAAAACAAGGAGAAATAAAAGCTGTGTGGAATTTCTGCTCTTTTCTCCAGGATTGAATATTAGATGCTAAATGACGCATATGCCAGCTAATAACTGAAAATCTGTTCTGCTGTTCACCCGTTTCTGAAGAGAACTGATTAAATATTTACCGTTTGTATCTTCAGTAAAAGCAATATTTCCCTGAAGCTTTCTCCCACAGACATTACACTGCCTGGCCAAACAAAAGTCTCCACCTGGATTTAACTAAGCAAATAGGTAGGAGCCTCCTATTGGATAATTACTGCATGGGCTGTTATCTTTCAGCTGCAACAAGTTAGCTAACCCCACCTGGTGCAATGAGTTCTTCTCATTTCTTAAACAACCATGTGGAAAGACACATCTGGTGGTCATGGAAAAGATGTTAGTCTGTTTGAGAAGGGTCAGATCACTGGCATGCATCAAGCAGAGAAAACATCTAAGAACATCTGAGATGTGTTCTTGCTGTGTCGTATCTCTAATTCCATGCTGTAGTTCTTTTTTAAAACACAGAGCAGTTTTGTATACCTGTTTTCCCGCTACGTTTAAACATAGCAGGAAAACAGGTAAACAAAACTGCTCTGTGTTTTAAAAAAGAACTACAGCATGGAATTAAACATCTAAAAAGTTGCAGAAACAACTAAAACTGGGTTAAGAACTGTCCAAAGCATTATTAAAACTTGTCTGATGAGTCCAGATGGACCCTGTTCCAGAGTGATGGTGCATCAGGGTAAGAAGAGAGGCAGATTAAGTGATACACCCTTCATGCCTAGTGCCTACTGTACAAGCCTGTGAGGGCAGTATTATGATCTGGGGTTGCTACAGTTGGTCAGGTCTAGGTTCAGCAACAGGATGTGCTCCAAGAATTAGGTCAGCTGACTACCTGAATATACTGAATGACCAGGTTATTCCATCTTCCCTGATGGCACGGGCAAATCCCAAGATGACAGTGTCAGGATTCATCAGCCTCTAATAGTGAAAGAGTGGCTCAGGGAGCATGAGACATCATTTTCACACATGGATTGACCATCACAGAGTCCAGACCTTAACCCCATTGAGAATCTTTGTGATGTGCTGGAGATGGCTTTGTGCCTTTGTGCATACAACAAATGCAGCAAAGCAGCCCCAGACCATCACACTGCCACCACCATATCAGACTATTGATATATTTTTCTAAACTGCAGTTACTTTTTCACCCGGTGTAACTGGGTCCACATCATAAATTGTGTTTCTGTTTGAGACCTTTTAGCTTCATGTTATCTGACTTCTCAGTACAACTGACCTGATAGTAATCAGGCCTGGATGTGGTCAGTGGAACTAAACTCAGGTCCACTGCCAGGGGCCACTTTTAGTTAGTTATGTGGTTATTTAATGATTATTATAAGGTTGTTATAATAACACTAGCCCCAAAAAACTGTTAGGTTTTGCATTCTATCTTATCTTTTTAAGTGAGGTGGTGCTCACTCCTCACCCCTGTCACATGGACCCAAGGGATGAACCATCAACCCTGCTCAATGGTCAACTTTCATCGTGGGTCAAACCCAGTAGTACAGTGGGAGGGTTAAAAAAATCCTAAAAAATCCAAACATTCCTTTGTCACATGATTCCTGATGGCATCTACAATACAATAATCTATTTTTTCACAAAATGTTTAATTTTTTCCTTTTGCACTAAAGTGTTTTATCTGTATATTTTCTGAGAAATACAAACTTTTTATTTAATCCAGTAGTTACCAAAGGTGCAGTAGCTAAAATAAAACTGAACACACACTAATTGCTGCTGCTGCTGGTGTGTTAGCACTTTGCATAACATCTCTGACATTATTTGTGTGTGGATGGCATCTGTGAAGTGCTTTGCTAAGCCTTGCCAAGGTTAAACAGCAGTTTATGACTGCAGAGCAGTTGCCGTTTATTTGTAGGCGATTTTTTTTTTACAGAAAAGGCTTTGCTTTCTGAGGCAGCTCTCGTTATATCTGAGGAGAAAAGAGAATTGTGCTGAGAGAACTAATCCTGTTTAACAAAACAACAATACAAAAGGTGGAGGAAGCACCTGCAGTCTAATGTTTTTTAATCAGATTTATAAGTCTTGTTTCCATAAGTAGGTATTACAGTGTAATAAGAGGCTTTAAATTTCTTAAAATGATATCAATCTTTACTATTTTTCAATCATTTCATAAGTCTTACATTTCCTCTTTGGTGCGTATTGTTGCCACCTAAAACAAGAAAACAAGCATTATCTCGTTGACCAGGTGACACATCCAGCATTCTGCATAGGAGCGAAAAGTGGAGCTAGCACAGGTTTATTTAGGCTATTTTCTCAAGCTCAGTGTTGTTGCCTCAACTGCTTGCAGACAAAAGACCAGCTGCATCTTATGGAGACATCAAGTGAGTAAAGGAACACAAGAGTCAGCAAAGCCGTCACACGTCTCTTATGTAGGAAAAATGCAAATGGTACAGAGGGCCAGGCAGCAGCCACACAGGCTGACCCATCAAATTAACTTTAACTCATCAGAGTTACGCCCAGTTGTATTTTACTGCTAATTTAATGTCATCATATATAAAATAGCAACAAAAATGCATCTGCTTTAACATAAGATTTTAGGAGCAACTTTTGGATTATAGGATTTGTTTTATTAGCTGCGATCCTAAGTGTGGGAGGAGTGGGTGGTGTCGGGGGTGCTCTGCTTCTTGCAGTTAATCTAATTTAGAGCAGAGAGCTGTTCTCTGGATTGAACTGCATTTAGAGTGGGTGTCGTTAGGCTAATTGTTCTCAAATGTGTCCTTTTAATGTCATCTGCCAACTCGGATGCTTTTTGTTTCGTTGCTCTCGCCGACTTTGTCGTTTTCTTCATGAAGTCACGTAGGTTTGAGATTTTTGGCTGATTTCTCTGAAGTAGGTCCAACTGCTTTTGTCAGACCCCCCCCCCCCCCCCCCCCCCCTCCCCCTTTTCTTGTGCCACGCTTGGCTTCGGGCATCCCATGACAACGGCGCTCTTCGGATGCCTGCAAGAGAATTGTAAAGAGGTCACCTTCTCCAGAGACGGGGAGGGATAAATGAGTCACAGTTGAGACTGCACACCCCGCTCAGCCATCATGTGATCTGCTGCCTAAAATCCTCTGGAGGAGACACGCGGGCCGTCGCCAAACCAACCTCATCCAATCAGTCACAGAGTTTATTATCACATGACACAACAAAAGTATAGATAGTTAAAGAAAACCAGCTGCTGATATCCAGAACTTTGCAACTTTGGTGAAGATCTCTCATTCAAAGTGGAATAAATGGCCATGAGTCATCTTCATGCTTATTAGTTCACATTTGAACTTAAAAGTGCTATTCTCTGCAAAGCCAGTCTTCTAAGCTGCAAATAATTTCATATCAGAGGAGCACTGATCGCCTTGGCAGTGCTGTGTGGGCTACTGAGCTCATATATTCAAGAGAATCCCACATACAGCGCCAGGCGTGCTTTGTGCTTTCCACCCAAACAGTCTTTAGGCATTTTTTGGGTGGATTTTGTGTCCAAACTCCAGGAAAATTTGCACTTGAATCATGATAAGCAGCATAACATCCATGTTGGGCTTGATAGGGTCAAAAATCTGGTTTCTGTATTTGTTTTTAAGGCTGATTATCTGTAAAAGTTTCCAGAAGCATCAGGAAAACTCGTGAAGCACTGATTCCTACGCAGCAGATGTTAAACTCATTTGTGTGACATCAAAATGTTTTAACCATTGTTAGCCGTGTCGCTAATCTCCTCAAGAGAAGTGTTTTTCCTTCTGTTTGAGTAGCAGCCTGTAAGAAGTGATTAGAGTTGTGGGCAGATAAAAGAGCAAACTGTCTGTTCAAGTTCTTCTGCAGAACAGATTTCAGTAGAAACATATGCTGCACTGCTGGAAGCTTTCTCTCTGTTTGTTCTTTGCAAGCAGTTGTCTGCTTTTTATCCCCTCAGAGGTATTTGTAGGTTTACTGTGCAAAAAGGCAACAAAAACAAGTAAAAAGGCAAAACATTTAATTAATGGAGTAAAATTTGGACTAAAGCACAACATCATTTTAAATTAGCGCTCTGCTGTTGTTGGTTTTGCAGGTTGATTTATTTTCTCCGAGTACAAAACAAAGGAAGTAAGACAGGTGTGTAAATGATTCACACAGAGGAGCAGGTGTCTGAAACCAGTCAAATAAAAGCTGCACCTGCTATGCTAAGCCTCATTCCTAAAATGTTTTGATTGGAAATTATTACCATAACAGCGTGTTAATGTAAGAATGTCCTAATTTGGCTTTAAGGATCATAATCAGTGATTTTCTCTTTGCTATTCTCTCTTATAAAAGCTTCCAAACACCAGTTTTAAAACTAAAACAGGAAGCTAACAGAAGCTGAAGAGTCTCATTTGTTCCTTAATGGACTTTTGGAAACTTTTTAAGCTTCATGCAGCACTTACGGTTAAACTCCTCACCATCAGGTTGCTGTGGAAAACATGGGACTGAACTTATGGGAGAGAAGTGAGAAATTTTCTATAAATAGTCTTGTTCCAATATGCTCCCATTTTGAATATGCATGATTGTTCAGGTCAGTGCTGAATAATTGACTCTGTAAAATGACCTTAATGCTCGCCTTGCCTGCCGGTTGTTGTAAAGTCTACCATCTGGTTACAAAGTCAACTAAAACTGTTAGCCATTTCGGTGCCAAGTGAGAAAACACCTTTATGTTAATAAACAAGAAGCTAAGATATTTAATTTACATTTTATTTTGGATATTTTTTAGCTTTAAGAACTCCTTAAAGCATTATTGCTTTATTTCTGCATCAATGTGATGTTGAACTGGAGATTTATGGGGAGTCGGCGTAACTATGTGAGCCGGGTCACTGCTTGTGTGTGTGTGTAGTGGTTTGTTATAATTTTTGTTTTTGGTGATTATTAATTCATTATAATTATTATTACAAATATTATTAACATTTTTTGTTATTAGTTTATGTGCTTAAAGTGTTGTGCATCTCATGACGTTACTCCTCTTTAGATACATAAACAAGCAAATAAATGTCATAGTGAGTCCTAAATATTAAAATCCAAAATATCACAGCAAAATGCCATCCTATTTTGCACATTTGAAAAAAGTTGTGAAACTTTAAAGTATTTTTAAAATTATTTTAGAAAATTGCAAGATTCTATCTAAATATTTCAAATCCAAGCAATTAAATAAAGTAATTAATTAAGTATTTTGG